GAAAAGTGATTGCATTATACATTTTAAAAACTCTCAAATCCATGTAAATTTATGGGTTAATATGCTAACTAACCAAAAAATATTAATAATTAGAAAACTAACAAAAAATAGCATATGTGGCATAATCTTGTCCATTGAATTTAGGTTAATTGGTTAGAATTTTGATTATAGTTTTTTTTTTTTGTGGCTATTCCATCTAATTTCCTTAAATTTATTTGATATGATTTTTTTTTTGTTATTAAACACATACATACCACTTAAAATTGTTACGGAGTACAAAATTTTGTTTAAAGGAGTACATATAATTATATAGAATAACATGATCAATTGAAAAATAAAAGTTTTGGTAATTACATTGAGAAATTCGTTGGTTTGCCTTCCATAAAATGTCAAGGAGCGTCCAAAGAAACAGGTAATTGAAGGTTTATCCTCTCGATGCTTGATGGGCTCAAACCTAGCTAAAGAAATACAATTTCTGTCTTTTGGAGAGAAACTTAAATATCGAATACAAGGTCTCCGAATTATCTGCTTATGTATTAGAGAACTAAGATGAACTTAAAAAACTTTATCTGACTCTCAAGGCTCCAAAAAAAGAAGCATCAACCGTGAGCAATCCATCTTCAAACGTTTCGGGAAAAAGGATCAGCCGCAAGCAAAAAATTGACAAGAGCATATTGTGTTTGAGAAGATGGTGACTGGTGTGACGAGGGTGACGAAGACGAGTGTATCATATGTTGAATTTTACGGGTTCCAGTTTACTTAGACATCTTAATTTATTGTATGTGTTAGCTTGAAAAGAATGATTTTATTTTATAACTCAATAAAACCTTGAAATTATTTTGTCTCACGTTTATAAAGTCCATATATAGTTTTGTGCATTGGCAAAAAAAAAACACCATAGTAAAATTGACTCTAGCCAATTGCTTTTTCATAGGTGATCAAGGTATTCTTTACTTCAGTGCACTTACTTTGCGCTAAACTCTGTGTCTATAAGCATCTTCAACCCAACATTAAATATTATTTTGGTATAAAATCCTATCTAATCCACCACTACTTTTAATACTAAATATAGTGTAAGAAATGAATTTCATAGTTTTGGTGTTGAATTTTTTTATTTATAAAAAGGTCTTTCAAATTTTAAACAATTTCAAAGTTGATGAAAATGATATACAATTGACGCTGGTTAAACCAAAATTTAATATGTTTTGTGGTGATTAAACAAAAAATTAAGGGTTTTTTTGTTGAATAACCAAAAAAAAATTAAAAAATTAGGAAAAATGTGGTATGTGCCAAAATATAGACCACTGGATTTGGGGTTTTTTGTAAGTTTTTAAATTATAATTTTTTTGGTTGTATTTTTAGCCAATTATCTCAAAAATTAATATGTTTTGTTGTTTTTTTTATATCAAAAACAAAATCTCAGTCTTCAAGAAGCAAGAGTTATGAACATGTGTGAGTAATATCTTGAAAAAAAAAGTCAAAAAGAAAGCTAATATCTCAAAAACAAAATCTCAATCTTCAAAAGCAAGTGTTATGAACATGACCCACTCCTCAGCAATTTGATCTTGTCACTCAAATTTTCCATGGCAGACTCCTCAAGCAAGACTCATTGTGACTAAGTTAGTCATAATTTTCTTGGCCAATTTCTTAAGCAATTTTGTTAATTCTAAAGAAAATGCACATAGCTTCTCACATTTTTCAATATTTTTTTAATCTTCTGACGTTATGTTTTTATCGTGTCGCTGGCACTTGAGAGTACACAAAATGACACTGCTGAAAGCTGCACCGGATGTTGTGCCAGTCAAAGTAATAACTTTCTCGTTTCCTTTTAGTTTGCTCTAAACTTTTGTAAAAACTTTAGCTTCAATCCACATATCAATCGGGCAGGGGACTCCCACATCGCTGACCACTACGCCAAGGTCTACTCTTTTCACATTTACTTGCTCTAGAGACATATTCCCCAGCCTTGGTACTTCCACACAGAAAATTTTACCGAGAGGAGGCCATATGTTTTGTTATTTTATATGATGCATTGTATTAATGAAATTTTA